AGAGTTTATTCGGTGTAGATTTAAGCAAGTATAAGTCTTCTAGTCTTTTCCAAAGTTCTTTGGTGGTTTTTAGTTTTCCCACTATTCTTAAGACAGCGTCAGACAAGTGCAATATTATTGAGGTATAGGCAAGCTCATCAGCTTCCTCTTTTTGTTCTTTTGAGATATCAGGTGCAAAATTGCCTTCGATGGCTTTTGACACCTTTTGTTGAACTAGTATGCCTCTCATCTTTTGTTGCCAGATAGAGAAGTTCCCTTTACCGTTAAAAATTTCCAAATCAAAATTATGTGTTGTCATTAGTTAACACCCTAATTAAACCACACGAAGTAGTATTGGGAAACGTGATAAGGTAATGTCTTGTTAATTATTAGCAAAGGTAACAATGAACCTAAACGCTACGTCCACCAAGGAATAACAAGCACTTTAAATTAAAAGAACAAATACTCAATTAACGCAAGTAATCCTAATTCTAGCACACGCAATGGTTACCCCTTCACGGTAACCCCAAAACCTAACAATCACCCAACACGATGATCTTGCTATTGCTGAATTTAAATGGATTAAGCCAATTTACCAGAGCGGACCTATCTGAGTCCGTAGAGTGGAGAAAAACGAGCTTGTTGTTGAATTTCAGTCGGCGTCGTATCAAAGGGCAAAATCGTCCAACTTTTTCTGTGTAACCTGAAACACAAAACAAAGTATATCAGCGCGTTCAGGAGATTGAAACAAACAAGTTACCTGAAGACAGCGTCGCCGGAAAATCTCCCACGCGCCGCCGCCGCCGCCACGCGCTGCCTCTCCCGGAGCGCCTCGACCTGCTGATGATGGGTATGGCCTCCGTTTGTCCAACCGAGCTTTGGTTTGTGAGTAATTGCAAATTTTCAGATTCGGGTTCTAGGTTGAAGATGCGAAAATCAGCCGATTTTGAGCCGTTTTTTGCTACCCAAGCTCTGATACCAGATGTTAGGATCTTCCTCTTCCTGCTCACGGTGATTTTCGGGCTCAGTTAACCATTAAAATCGAATTCAACATCAAATTGGAGTCACCAAAGCCGCCGTCGCCTCTTCCTCCTATGGTTGCTTTCCTCCTTTGCTTTGTTGATTCAATCCACACACTTAGGATGGATACCACTCAGGTAAGGTTCACAAAGGCTCAAGCAATTGGGATGGAGAAGAAATCACGAAGAAGATGAAGGCAGAAGAACACGGCAGAACCTCTATCTCACGGCTTCAACTAATGGACCAGGTTAACTAGGATGAAAACACCAATATATATAGTAAGTCAAGTGGCCAACATAAGGTAAGTAGTGATATCGTAAGTAGGTTCGACTACGGTTAACTTCCAATAGAAAGAATCAACAAGCCACAAAGAGTATTAGCCGTCCAATAGGTAAAGCAACGTTTGGTCGGTTCATCCATTATTCGATGTTGAATTATCGTTCAATCATTCATGTTGACTGATAAAATTAGTTCTCATCATCGCTCGGGAGTTCGTTTGACAACATAATGTCTAACAAACAGAAAGCTGCAAACAGGGAAAAATATGGCGGAGACACCACATGCTATCATGTTTCCTCTTCCATTTCAAGGTCATATTACCCCGTCTGTGAATCTTGCTATGAACCTTGCTTCAAAGGGTTGTGCCATCACTTTTGTCTATACGGAATTCATCCACCAAATGTTGTCCAAATCTCATCACTCCAGTAGTGAGGTTCATTTATTCGAAGATGCGGGTCTTGACATACGCTATACAACGATCTTCGATGGTTTTCCCGTGGAATTCGATAGATTTCTGCACTTGAATGTTGAGAAAAAAATATAGGGAAATCTGAAAAGTTAATGAACTCCAAGGCACGAAAAACGTTATCTTTTAAAAGATATTTCTCCCCTATCCAATAAAGTCACAATTGGGGTATAATAGAAAATCTCTCTCAGGATACAATAGAGACGTTTGATTCAAATTGTGACTATTCGATCAAACCAAGAAGACACTCGAAAAAAATTGATTGATGCCAAGAGAAAGAAAGAAGAATAATTTTTAATGTGTTTTACAAATGAAAATTCGCCCAGCATTTATAGAAATTGAGGCAACTGTTTGAATAGGTGTATTCCTTGAAATCCTTGTATATATCTATTGGAAGTGACTGTTAAAAATGAATAGATGTACATATTCAAAGATATTTGAAAATAAAAATTCTCTTTCGGGGGCGCTGCCCCCTCAACCCCCCTGCGACCTGACCCGATAGGTCGAACCCCGTTGCGCAGCAGCAAACACTAATTCGAACAGCAAATCATTCGCAAAGTAAAAAATTAAATACATGTAAAATGATGAAAAATATCTAACATGAAAGAGTACTGGGAATCCATGTTGAGAGATTTTCCAGCTCGCGTCGATGAATTTGTTGGGGACATAATCCGGTCTGATCCACAGTCGGCTTATTTTCTTATTACTGACACTTTTTATAATTGGCCTGCAACAATTGCCAGGAAATATAACCTCGTGAATGTGTCATTCTGGACAGAACCAGCATTAGTCTTTTCCATAGCTTATCACTTGGACCTTCTTAGAGAAAATTGTCATTTCCCTTGTAAAGATTCTTC